TCTCCCAAAGCACTGGGATTATAGGAGTGAGCCACCATACCTCGCTCAGATTCCACAATTAAACAAAGTGGGTGGGGGGTGGGTGGCTAACAGCAAACAAATTTATATTACAACCAGGTAATTGTACAAACGATATAAACAGAAGTCAGATAAAATTATTAGTATGCATATAGTAATAAAGCATAAGCTATTATATAGAAAATGTGATACAAAGTTGTACATAAATATTTATAAAAGCAATTAATCTTCCCTAGTCTATGGGAATACAAAAAGTTGCCAGTAATTAATTTACATTACAAAAAAGGAAAACCATTATTTATGCTATCACAAAAGCAACACCCTTACAAGTAAAAACAATCTCTGCTTGATATTAGTAATTTGAAAAACCTGGGCACACCTTCAAATATTGTTTAATCAAAACTTCATTTTCATTGACTCAACATTTATCACTTAAATAAAGATGTAAAATAACCTTGCATGGCAAATGTTTACTCTATACTAATGAAACTATGAAACGGTTCCTGCTCTCAAGTACAGACAAGTCAATCAATGACAGACTGCAGAACAGACTGGTGAGTGTTACAAAAAACTGCCCAGGGAACCACTAGGGGTGGAGGAAGAACTCCTGGGTCTCGCCATTGGGCACTTAATGCTTTCACTTTCATCTGTAAACCAGGGGACAATTATATGAATATTGTATGAATACACTGCTATGGGGAAAAGCATTCATTCAACAGATGCACACTACATACTCTGTACCAGCAATTGTGTTAAGAGCTGAAACAGGGACGGACAAGACACATCCTACCAGGGTTCCCAATATAGCAGGTACTGAGCTAATGCACACACAAGCGTTGGGTACTGCCAGATATCACCACTCTGGAGCAAGCACCTGTCTCTCTGAATGAATAATCTCTAGCATGGTAAGAGTTAACTGTATTTCAAAAGGTGAAACAAAACTTTTTTGCTTTGTTATGATGCACGTTTCAAATTGGATCAGTGGTTCAGGCCTGAAGTATGCAACAGAATAATCTGTGAAGCTCAGTAAAAGGGCTGATGCCAGGGCCCACCGAAAGCTTACTGCTTCAGAACCACTGGGGGCCTGGCAGTTCTGAGGTGCACACCTAGTTAAGAATCCCTTTTTTTTTTTTTTTTTTTTTTGAGACGGAGTTTCGCTCTTGTTACACAGGCTGGAGTGCAATGGCGCAATCTCAGCTCACCGCAACCTCCGCCTCCTGGGTTCAAGCAATTCTCCTGCCTCAGCCTCCTCAGTAGCTGGGATTACAGGCACGTGCCACCATGCCCAGCTAATTTTTTTTGTATTTTTAGTAGAGACGGGGTTTCACCATGTTGACCAGGATGGTCTCGATCTCTTGACCTCGTGATCCACCCACCTTAGCCTCCCAAAGTGCTGGGATTACAGGCTTGAGCCACCGCGTCCGGCTTAAGAATCCTTTAAAGGCTGATAAAGCAATCTTGAAACCACTGTCAATGCAAAAGTAGATGCTCCTCATTAATAAGAACTCAAAAATAAAGTAGCGCTAGTATAATACTTTTGTGGTTTTTTGTGCCTATAAAACCCATCCAAGTGTTAGAAAGCTACTTTCTAATTAAAAGACTTGCAGTCAAAAAACCAGAGCCCCACTCCCCTGAAAAAAGGCACCATAACATTGCTGACCTCAATGTGCAAAGGCCTGTTATGTGCCGTTACTGTATGCGGTATGCATGTGTACATACGCATCTGTTTTCAGGGGAAGAAAAGCTGTTAAAGCCAATTAAGGTTATGAATTCTTGCTACTACTTTAATATTAAATTAACCTTTAAGTGAAAAATTATTCAACACTATTACAAATGTGGCAAACTGACATAAATGGTTTACTACACAAGCTTTAATGTCAAAGGGACTAGATCATAGCCCCAGTCTCACTTATTGGACCTGTAACATTGTGCAAGTCTCTTATCTGGGCCACAGTCCTACACCTCAGGAAAATGGAAGTAACTGCTTCATTTACAGAGCTATTAAATGAAAGAAGTGAGAAAACTATAAACCAACATCAAAGCCTGAATTATTGCTTAGTATTTACTTTAAAATCTAGTACAATTGCAATGTTTTTAATTAAAAACTCTGGTACATGAATTTTTACAATGTATCTAAAAGCATCATTTAACACTAAAAACTTAATTTTTGAAAGAGTACACAACCAGGCGGGGTACAGTGGCTCACACCTGTAATGCTAACACTTTGAGAGGTCGAGATGGGAGGTTCACTTGAGGCCAGGAGTTCCAGACCAGCCTGGTCAACAAAGTGAGACCCCATCCAGCCTGGTCAACAAAGTGAGACCCCATCTTTTTTTTTTTTTTTTTTTTTTTTTGGAGAGAGTTTTGCTCGTCGCCCAGGCTGGAGTTCAAGGACACGATCTCAGCTCACTGCAACCTCCACCTCAAGTGATTCTCCTGCCTCAGCCTCCCAAAGTAGCTAGGATTACAGGCCCTTGCAACCAACGCCTAGCTCATTTCTTTGTTTTTAGTAGAAACAGGGTTTCACCATGTTGGCCAGGCTGGTCTTGAACTACTGACCTCAGGTGATCCACCTGTCTCAGCCTCCCAAGGTGCAGGGATTACAGGCAACTGTGCCCAGCCAACCCCATCTAATAAAAAGAGTACACAACCACAAAGCACTGGGCCAAGTGCATGGTTTCCGTGTTTGCAAGGATTTACCATTGAAATACTAGGTTGACGCAAAAGTTAATTTCCGGACTGTGAATTTTAAATCATTGTAACTAGGTTCAAACATATCTTTATTAATCGAAATAGGAACCATTACAATCAACACGTTTGCCAATGAGAAAGAAATTTATACCTGTAGCATAAAAATGCATGGTTCAGGATTCAGTGAACTCTTGGAAAGCATTTTCTGCGTCCTGCTGAAGCGTTTTCCCTGCAAAAAGTTGTCAAGATGCCAGAAGTGGTGGTTGGTTGGCCAGAGGTCAGGTGTATATGGTGGATGAGGCAAAACTTTGTGGCCCAATTCCTTCAACTTTTGAAGTGTTCGTTGTGTGACATGCAGTCAAGTGTTGTCATGGAGAAAAACTAGGCCCTTTCTGTTGACCAATGCCAGCTGCAGGCGTTGTAGTTTTTGGCGCATCTTATGGATTTGCTGAGCATATTTCTCAGCTGTAATGGTTTTGCCAGGATTCAGAAAGCTGTAGTGGATCAGACTGGCAGCTGATTACCAAACAGTGACTATGACCTTTTTCTTGGTGCAAGTTTGGTATTGGGAACTGCTTTGGAGCTGCTTCTTGGTCCAACCACTGAGCTGGTTGCTGTATAAAATCCACTTTTCGTTGCACGTCACAATCCCATTGAGAAATGGTTTGCTGTTCTTGCGTGGGATAAAAAGACACTTCAAAAGAACAGTATTTTTTATTTTTGCTCAGCTCATGAGGCACCCACTTATCAAGCTTTTTCACCTTTCCAATTTGCATTAAATTCCAAACGACCCAAATGACTGTAGATAGTGAATGCGGATTCTTCTGAAATTTTTCATGTAGTTTGATGATTGCTCTTGATTGGTCATTGTCAGCCTCCGGTTGCCAGCCACCAGGCTCCTCCTCTTCAAGGCTCTCTTCTCCTTTGCAAAACTTCTTGAGCCACCACTGCACTGTATGTTCCTTAGCAGTTCCTGGGCCAAATGTGTTACTGATGTTTTGAGTTGTCTCTGCTGCTTTATGACCCATTTTGAACTCAAACAAGAAAATTGCTCCAATTTCCTTTTTGTCTAACATCATTAGACATCTGGTTCTCACCCACCTCACCTCTAAATTTTTTTCTGCCAGAAAAAAATTTGACATTCTCTTAAGGCCTTTTCCAATTTCAAGATGTATGCTTCACCATGACTAAACGAACCTAGCTTTTCCCCCCTTTGCAAAGTGAAAGCAAGAAGACAGGGAAATAGGTATATCTAAAACATTTTTTATCAAATAAAAATATTATTAGATAATGGGAAAAAAATACTTAAGTTAGAATCATCCTAATAAAAGCCCAAATGGGTACTGTGTAAAAAAAAAAGTTAACCCATCCATTCTAGACTCAGTATTTCCCCTTAAGAAGCAAGAAAACTGAAGAAAAAAAACCACTTAGTACAAGACCTACAACCTGTAGTCTCAACACTTCAGGGTAGTTAGGATAAATAAGCACCTGCACCTTCCCAGGCAAGTCAAAACCACAAGAGAAGAGAGAGAAATATGTAACGAAAACTTACAGCCCAAGAGTTTAAGATCAAGCCAGGCCATTTTCTTCATATAAATTTAAGCAATGCTGCTAAAAGCTGCTTTACACATTCCTACCTACTACCATTTACTACTTTCATATCTCGGGGAGGGCATGGAAATACACAAGATCTGGATCGTATGTTCATTAAGAAAAAATTAGAGATTCTAGGGCGTTTCAACACTTCACCTGCGATGGTCAGAGCGGACGCATCTCTGGACCTTTAAAACCTAAATTTAAAACTATCTGTACCGAGGAAGGCCAGATGAGCTCAATTCCCACCCAGTACAACCCCCACTTCAGACCTACAGGCGCCCTACTGAGCGGCTGGGCGAATCCGTCGCGTTAAGTCAGGGCCCCGCTTCTTCCATCAACAGAGACTTTGCGAGCCTCCCAGAAGCTTCGGCTAGGCGGGAGGCCTGGGTGGAGACCGCCACTGCGAGGATGGTACCCACCCAGCCACGAGGACTTCGCGGTTCCCCAGAGGGGCGGGCCAGATCCCGGGTAACCGTGCGCGACATCCACGAGTTTTCAGGACCTCTAGCTTCTCGGCCTTTAGGCCCCGGCGCCTGCGCCATTTAAGCCACAGATACGCCCGCCCCGCCGCGACCGAGCCCGGCAGCCGCCACAACCGCCGCCCGGGGCCCCGTAGCCAAAGGGCCGGATGGACCAAGCGCCGGCCGCGGCGTTCCGGTGCGCGCGCGCGCCTCAGCCAATCGCGTGCTCGCCCGCCCCCCGCCGCCGCGGCGAGGCTGGCGCAGGGAAGAGGAAGAAGAACATTCGCCCTCCTCCTACCAGCGCGCGGGCGGCGGCGGCGGCGGCACCGGGGTCACGAACTCTGACCTTTCACTGACAAAAACAATAACAAACCCCCCCTTCCCCGCGACCCCGGCGGCGCCCCCGGGCCCGTCCCCGCCACCCCGCTCCCACCTCGGCATCTCGTCTCTCGCCCGCTGCCCCGCGAGCCCGCGGCCCCCGGGCTCCCGCCATCCGCCGACGCCGGGAGCCGGGGCTCCCCGCGCCCTGCCCTCCGCGCCGGGGGCCGCCCGCCGCAGACACGGGACCCGCTTCGAGGCCGCTTTGGCGCCAAACCCTAAGGTAAAATTGAAAGAGGGTCGGGCGGGCTCGGGCCGGCGGCGGAGGGGGCGGGCCTGGCGCGCGGACATGGAGGCGCCGCAGCGGCGGCTGAACCCGACCCTTTTACCTTTGCCACGGGGCGGCGGCGGCGGCGCCCGGCGCTTTGCATAGTGGGCCGGGCCGCTCCCCTCCCCTCCCCGCCCGCGGCCGGACGAAGCGAGCGGGTTCCCCCTGACCGGCCAGGCCGGCGCAAGGGTGGGGGCGGAGGGGGAATGGCCGCGGCCCCGCCTCACAGTTGGCCCTCCGCCAGCGCCGCCATTTTGTTCTCGACGGAGATGGCTCGGGCTGGTCGGGCTCCCTTCCTCCTTATCCTCCTCCGCCCTCCTGCAGTTTCTTGTTCCCTCTCTCCTGGGCTCTTTGCCCCTCCGCCTCTAGTCCGCTTTTGGCGGCCGCCGCGGCCCAACCGCCGTTTTTTCTAAAGGGGAGGGTAAAGGGAAAGGAGGAAGGCGGGTGCGAGGCACCACCTCGTGAGCGACGGGTAGGCCGACCAATTGGCGCCCGGATAGGAGGGTCGGGTCCTGTGGCTCCGCCCCCATAAGCTTTGTTGATTGGGTGAGGCCGAAGAGGGCGGTCCCTATGGGGCGCAGGAGCCCTGGCGGGGCGGGAGTAGAGGCCGGGGCGCGGAGTGGGGCCGGGTCGCCGGGGGCGGGGGCGGGGCCGGGGGCGGGGCGCAAGGGGCGCGGCCGGGTGGAGAGGCCGGCGCCCGCCCCTGGGCCCTGGGGTGGGCGGCTTTCCTCCGCCTGGGACGCGTCCAGAATGAGTACTAAGAACAATAGTATTAAAGGTGATGCACTTCGAGTCCACGATGAGGTCTCTAGGGAAGAGGTTTTCGGAACGCGGACGGACCCGTTTCAGGGCTCCTGCTCGTTATTTCGGAGCGGCCATGGCTAATCCCCAATTGAGGCTCAGTTTTATCCATTGTAAAATGGGGAGCATGCTCATTCTTTCCAGGCTGGACCTCCCTTTTCAGCATTATTTTTGGGGCTGTACTCAGAAAATGAGTCAAGTCTGCTTTGCTAGCCTCAAAGTCACTTGAAAATGATGTTACTGTTAAAAATGGGATTACAGCCACAGGGAGAGGCAAGCTTAAGGGTATTAAGGGCTTGAGAGAGCACAATTCGGGGTGATTCTCTTCTCATTCTTTCGCTGAATACATGTTTACTTAGTTTTAGGCATTGGGGATACATCTGGAGAACCAGCCGGACGAGACCCCTGCCCTCACTAGAGTTGGGGGCTGGGGGGTGAATAGACAAAGAAGTAATTCCAGAGAGTGTGGTAAGTTCTGTGAAAGGAAAGAAACCAAATGACCTGAAGAAGAGCTCAGGCACTAATTTAGTTGGAATGGTCAGGGTGGCCTCTCTGAGGAAATGATGTTTGAACAGAGGAACCCAAGGAAGGAATGGCATTCCAGACAGGACAGCCTGTGTAAGGGCCCCGGAGGAAGAGCATTTGATGTGATTGAGAACTAGCTACTTGTGGCTGGAGAGTTGGTTGGAACTACTTAATTGTCCATTATCCCACTCCAGGCCAAAGGCTGTGAAATATAGCAACGGTAGTGAGGAACAAATCTTCAATGTAATAATAAAGTCGAGGAAAATACGGCCTTCATACGAATTGCTGGTGAATACATGACTTGGGAGGAGGGCATCGGAAACTCACTTTACTTCCATATTCAAATCTTTGTCAGCCTCTTATATACATCTTGAATTCTTCAAATATTTCCTGAATGCCACAAATACTCCAAGCACTATGTGCTAGGCTGAGAGTACAAAAATGACTAAGACACTGGTGCTCAAACATGTGAACAAGATTTTTTTTTTTTTTTTTTTGAGACCAGGGTCTTGCTCTATCACCCAGGCTGAAGTTGAATATAATTATCTGTGTACAAGTTCTACACGCACGCGCGCTCTCGTTCTCTCGCTCTCTCTGGCTCTCTCGCTCTCTCGCGCGCGCGCTCTCTCACGCTCGCGCTCTCTCTCTCTCTCTCTCTCTCTCTCTCTCTCTCTGTCTCTCTCTCTGTCTCTCTCTGTTTTTCTTTCTCTGGACCTAAAGAGAGATTTATACACATGCATACACAGACATAAAATGTTTCAGTGTTGTGATTAGCAACTCCCAGCTTTTACTAGCAGTGTGATTTTGTGTAAGTTACCTTTCCTAGCCTCACTAACCTCGTCTGGACAATAATAGAACCTTCCTTCTAGAACTGAAGATTAAGTGAGTTAATGTAAATAATAGAGCTTAGTAAAGTGCCTGACATATAGTAAATACTCTATAAATAATTAGCGTTATTGTCATTATGAAGTACTGGTATAGACATTGGACTAGTTGAGTGATAGAAACAATGAAATTTTTAGGCAGTGTAGTGTAGGGGCAAAAACAAGAGATTGATGTTCTGAAATTCTAGTTTTGGCCCTATGCTTTCAACTAGTTACTTGGCATCCAGGACAAACATTTAGAAAATAAAATAGTGGAACTAAATAGTACTAACCAAAGTATAGGGTGCTTTATGATTTACAAAACTCTTTTACAGGCAGTATGTTGTTCAGGCTCCCCTAGAACCTACATAGTGGCAGAGGCTCTTTTCCTGCTTTGTGTTTAAAAAGCATTCCAAGGCTTTTCATTATTTTCTTATCTGTGTACCCCTAACTCCCTGTGCTCTGGACACACTGGCCTACCTTCAACTTTCTTGACCAGTGTAGCTTACCTTCCCACTCTATGCCCTTTCACAGGCTGTTCCCTCAGCCGGATATTTTCAAATGTCTGTCCCCTACCCCTGTGTCCCCCCAACCCTACCTCAGATATTGGCTCAAGCATCGCTTCTTCAAGGGAAGTCCACCCTAATTCCCATTGCTAATCTAGATCAGATTCTTTTTATTGTGTTTCTTTATAACCTTTATTTCACTTTGTAATTACACGCTCCATTATGTGATTATTTGATTAATGTCTGTCCTTACCACACTGTAAGCCAGGAGAGCAGGAATATATTTTGTTCACTATTACTTACCCTGCACTTAGAAGAGTGCCTGGCAGTATTTGTTGAATGAATTGTTGATAATTTATGATGTCATTGATAACTAAGTTGCTCTGCATTGATGGGTACCTTTTATGTGAGCCTCTTTGGCAATTCAGATAATACTGCCAGCAATAAAAAGCCTATTAAGGTATTTGGTTGTATTTAGGACGTGATTTCTGTCAGGTATGCCGCTGCCTTGAGACATAAAAACTGGATAAAATGACCTGTTTCAATCATTTTCCCCACTATATTGATATTTTTATGATTGAATTACAGATTTAATTACATGAAAGTAAGTTCATATGTGAAGAAATAAATAGCCCAAACATCCTTAAGTTATTTAACCGAAGAAACAAAGCACCAAATTAACATAATTTTCTTGATATCAAATATTCTGATTTTTGTTTCACTATCACAGGGAATTGGAGAGCAAGGAAGAAGCCTCCAGGGGGTTCACAGGGAGTTGGGAGTTGAAAATCTCTGTAGCCATTACTTTGGGATATTTATCCTTCCAGAGATAAATGTATTCATTTAATGAAATTATTGAAAATCATCTTTTAATTGCTTTACCAAGGCTAAAAGCAAATTTTGTAAAGCGTATGTCATTTCTACTCCAAAGTGTGATAAAGAGAACATTTGTATTGACTTATTTTATATTGTAAAACTTTTTTTTAAAGTAGTCTGCCTATTGGTTTATTTATTTATTTATTTATTTATTTATTTATTTTTGAGAAAGAAAGAATAAGAAAAAGAATAAAGAAGAGGAAGAAAGAGAGGAAGAGGGAGAGAGAATGGGGGTATTGCTTTATTGCCCAGGCTAGAATGCAGTCTAAATATGGGTATGCCTATAATTGTCTTTAATAATGGAGACATAAAAGAAAATGAGGGAAGAGAATAACAAACAAGGAGCCAACAACATTTCGTTTAAACTTCTAAGTTGATATGATGTGGTACTGCTAAGAGTGTATATTTTGTGTGTTTAAAGTGGAGAGTTCTATAAATGTTAATTACGTTTACTTGTTTTAGATCTGAGTTCAAGTCCTGGATATCATTGTTAATTTTCTGTCTCATTGATCTGTCTAATATTAATGTTGAAGTCTCCCACTATTATTGTGTGGGAGTCTAAGTCTCTTTATTAGTCTTGTATGTCTGGGTATTCCTGTATTGAGTGCGTATATATTTAGGATCTTTAGCTCTTCTTGTTGTTGCATTGATCCTTTTATCATTATATAATGTCCTTCTTTGCTTCTTTTGATCTTTGTTGCTTTAATGACTATTTTATCAGAGGCAAAAATTGTAACTTCTGCTTTTTGTTTATTTATCTTAGCTCTCTGGTTGGTTGGTAAATCTTTCTCCATCCCTTGTTTTGAGTCTTTGCATATCCTTGAATGTGAGATGGATCTGGATGCAGCATACTGATGGGTTTTAGTTTTTTATCCAAATTGCCTGTCTGTCTTTGGATTGGGGGATTTAGTCAATTTAAATTTAGAATTAATAATGATATATGTGAATTTAATACTGCCATTTAATATTAGCTGGCTATTTTGCCCATTAGTTGATGTAAATTCTTCATTATATTGATGCTTTTTACTTTTTGGTATTTTTTAGAAAGGCTGATACTGTTTGTTCCTTTCTATGTGTAGTGGTTCTTTCAGAAGCTCTTGTAAAGCAGGCCTGGTGGTGATGAAATCTCTGAGTGCTTGCTTGTTCACAAAAAACTTTATTTTTCCTTCACTTATGAAGCTTAGTTTGGCTGGATGTGAAATTCTTGGTTGAAAGTTCTTTTCTTTAAGGATGTTGAATATTGGCCCCCACTCTCTTCTGGCTTGTAGGGTTTCTGCTGAGAGATCTGCTGTAAGTCTGATTAGGCTTCCCTTTGTGGGTAACCTGACCTTTCTCTCTGGCTGCCCTCAGTATTTACTCCTTCATTTCAACCCTGGTGAATCTGATGATTATGTGCCTTGGAGTTGCTCTTCTTGAGGAATATCTTTGTGGTGTTCTCTGTATTACCTGGAGTTGAATATTATCCTGCCTTACTAGGTTGGGAAAATTTTCCTGAATAATATCCTGAAGCGTATTTTCCAGCTTGGATTCATTCTCTTCGTCACATTCAGGTATACCTATCAAGTGTAGATTAGGTCTTTTCACATAGTCCCATATTTCTTGGAGACTTTGCTCGTTCCTTTTTATCCTTTTTTCTCTAATCTTGTTTTCTTGTTTTATTTCATTGAGTTGGTCTTCGACCTCTGATATCCTTTCTTCTGCTTGATCAGTTCGGCCATTAAAACTTGTGCATACTTCACGTAGTTCTCGTATTGTGTTTTTCAGCTCCATCAATTCACTTATTTTCCTCTCTAAATTGTGTATTCTTGTTAACATTTCGTCAAACCTTTTTTCAAAGTTCTTAGTTTCTTTGGATTGGGTTAGAACAAGTTCTTTTAATTCACAGAAGTTTCTTATTATCCACATTTTGAAGCCTGCTTCTGTAATTGGAACACACTCGTTCTCCATGAAGCCTTGTTCCGTTGCTGATGAGGAACTGTGATCCCCTGCTGAGGGAGAGGCATTCTGATCTTGGGTATTCTCAGCCTTTTTTAGCTGTTTTCTTCCCTTCGTTGTAGATTTATCCATCTGTGGTCTTTATAATTACCGTCTTTGTAATTGGAGTTTCTGAGTGGACGTCCACCTTACTGATTCTCAGCGCCGAAATCTGAGCAACCCACTGACTAAATCAGCGGCGTTAAGACTGATGGTGCTTTTCTGACTCTGTACCAAGAACCGACACTCTGAGACGCCAGCAAAACCGCCTCGCCGGTCACAAGAGTTGCGCTGGTGACCCGTGGGGCTCCTCCGCTGGGAATCTCCTGGTGCCTGAGCAACAAGAATTCATGTGAAGGTGTGGTGTCCTCTCGTTCTTTGCGCTTTCACTGTTACCTACAATCCCGAGCTGCTAGTGATCAGCCATCTTGGATCTCTCTCCATTGTAAAACTTTTAAAATAAGATACCGTTAGGGTATTTTCAAAATAACAGTAGTTTATTATTGGATTTCTTTTTTTTCTGTCTTGCTCAAGGATTTCTGGTATCACTTGTTCAATTCAACACTTGATTCATTGAGCTAATTACTCAGGGTAACCGAAGAACTGATAGTTTAGTAAAACAGCTATATGTTTTCTTACACCATTAAGTTACTCATTTATCGCTTTCAGTAGCTATATTCACAGTGACCTTGAAGTTTTGTTTTCATGATCATTCCTTTATAGA